CATTATGAGTGAAATGCAAGGTTTACAACACATTCCAAGAACATGTATGCTGGTTAAATTATCTCAAATCCCATATTCAGCTTCAGAAATATATTAAATAAATATTTACTTCTCTTTGCAAGTAAGTGAAGTTCCAAACTATATAGAGATTTTAGTCAAAATAAAGCAGTCGTACAGCTGTTGTGATTTGACGCTAACTTATACGCTTAGGATTTTCGATAAAAACAACTATCATTTCGCGCGATAGACCTAGAGTACTATAAGTGTACCAAACAGTACTTTGGCGTCGTTCGAACACTCCACTGAAGAACTGAAACGTACACGTCATTTTCGACCGCAAATTCGTTTAAAAGAAATAATTGCGGCGAAAAGCACGCATTTTTTCTGGTTAAGAAACTTGCATAGCTCGGAAAAGGGATAAATAAAGTATTCGCTTTACACAGTTTTGAGTTGGGGCAAAATACCAAAACAAAGTTTTCGTCAATTTTCTGCCGGGACACTCACTCGAAGGGCAAAAACATCATTTACGCCCTACGTAATAAAAATGATAAAATACAACACAATAAAAGAAGATCTACTTGGTAAGACTATTATAACAAATGAAATGGATTCCAGGAGTACCTCTAAAGCAGACTTAAACGACATATCCCATAGACGTTCACTGCGATCTATGACTTGGAAAAAGTACCATAATTTGCTCCGTTGAAATGCACCAAAAGTGCTCGCAATAAAGTTTTAATTCTCGTTGCTGTACATTTTATAAAGACTGCAATCCCCAGCGGCTGTAAAGAAAAGGTAAAGACACTATTAGTAGCAATATTGTTAAGTTGGGGCACCGGTAGGATTTAGAGAAATTTGACTCCAAAGCTAATGCAAATTCAGAATAAAATCAAAATTCCCCCGTTAAAAGGGGCCTTCTGCATTACGATCGTCTTAAAGTACACACACCAAGTTTATCACAACCCAAATTCAAAGGTCTTCAGACTCACCTTAATTGCTTTGGCACTTGTGGGAACATCCGGAAATCAGCTGATGTTAATTTTATTCCCGTTGATTTGCCAATCTCTTAGCTGTTTTTAGGCAGTTTGATCGTAAAAAATCCTTTAATGGGAAGTCGAAGGAAACTCCAGAAGTACCCAGAGCGTTAGAAATGTATGTAGGTATTTAACTTTCTTTCATTTCGTTCCATGATCTCCCCAAGAAATCAAAATGGCGCCAGGGTTCTTTCATTCCAAAAGATTTAACGCATGCGTAGACAGAATGCCCCATTCCTGTGCTGACTCGTGCCATGTCTGGATGGCGGCGTATCTTTGGGCACCAGAGAGTAATTTCGATGGAAAAAAACATCCTCTCTGATCCTACAAGTGATGGGAATGTCTCCACGAATGTTTCCTCTCAGGTATCAGAGCGGCTCTCCAGTCCTGTGTATAGTTATGAGACATTCGACAACAGGGAATCAGAGAACTTTGTTTCGGATCAGGGAAATTTCACACAAACATGTCCAACTTGCGGTGGATCTGGAAAACTAACAAAAGGTTAGCTGCTTAAAGTTGAGAAAAGCATCTTTCTCCTGAGCGATTATGATACACTTTACATCACCCGGAAGGAAAATCTGACGCAGCCAATCAATAGTTTATATCATATACTGTAACTTGAACTACGATTTCATCGATTACACTGTTGATGCTAGACTTGATTTATCTGCTATAGTTTATTGCTATTGTATCTATAAAACTCAAGTTTAAGTTGGATGCAGAAAATATTTGAAATTCAGGAGCATGTGAAATACAGACCTGGTCGAAATACCATTCGTCGTAGGAAGTGCTAATTAAGAGGGCACAGAGCTGTACATTTTGATTCTTCATGTATCGAAACCTTCGACCTCTTTTGCATTTGAAATTATTTCACTTTTTTTATTATGCTGTCAAGCTTCACCTAGTCAACGACCAAATTTTCGAATTAGTCTCTTAAACATTCTTTTTTTTTTCCATCATAATTGTGAATGATGGTTAACAGTTTTCATACCTAAATGAAAAGCACATAATTATGTTGCACCAGTAGTGCTGCAAACGAAGAAGTGATATTTCAAGGAGAGATTCATTATAATTATTTCGAAAGTGAGCTAAATACATATTTATGGTATCAGTGAAAAAAAATAAGTGACTTGCCCACCTGACCCAAACAATCTAAAGGAAAAAAAAATGAATTTTATCATTTTCCTTTCATTTAGAGCAAGAACATGACTTAGTCGCACTTATTCCAGTGAGAGACAGACGACTCAAGCCACGAAGAACGTAGGTCACTGTATATCATGTAAAGATTTTCTTGATGTTATTTCTCCAAGACCTCTCCCTCACCCTAGCTAGGCAAGGTTCAAATTTTCCATCCCCCTTCCCAGGGTACAGGTGGCAGTCAAATGCCCTTGGGTTGTCAGGGGGGGATGTTCAAGTTTCAAATTGATCAGTGCATAATATATATATGACAAGTGTCGACATTTTGATTTCATGACTAAAGTCTTATGGAAAAAAGGCAGAGGAAACTATAGGGATATTCACGAACTGTCACACTGCCTCTATTTGTATCCTGGTTGGCTAAGCCCATCACTTTATTTGCATTTGTAATACTCTTATATTGACATGATATATTTGATGGCTTGATCAGTGTATACTTCATACTGATCTGCATCTTCTTCTTTTCCAGTCTTCTTTACCTTGTCCTGGCAGTGTTCCTTTGTCTGGCAATCTGCGCAGTGGTTGGTGCAATTTTCTTCCCAAGAACTGTTTCAATCAAATTAGTTGATGCATTTCCAAACAATATTAGCATCCCAAGCACAAACCATACAAATCCTGTTATTATAATAATTGTGAGTGAATAAACATGAGTATTCATCTTGATATGACATTTATTTAATGAGTGATAATGATGATGTTGATAGTAATGATAATAGTATTAATAATGATGATAAACATAATGAAAAGGAGCTGATATTTCGAGCATGAGCCCTTTGTCCTGTTGAGGGGTTAACACTCGAAATGTCAGCTTTGAAACCCTATATGGTTGCTAATTTGCATTATCACCTCAGTTGATAAAACCAAAATGCCTTGTTACCCCCACTGATGCAGTACCACAGTTTCTTTAGAAACTTACCCCCTCTATAATGAAAAGCAGATTCCTAAAGCTACATGTAACAACAAGAGAAAATCAACAGCCTTGCTTTTTACTTTTTTTTTATCTTTTTTTTATCCTGATCATAATTTTTCCTTATTTTTCATGGTCATTATATGTTAGTGTTATGGAAATATTTTTAAAATTGTCAAGTATATAGAATAATTCAGCCTCAGACA